AGCTGGTTTCCTGGGATGAGGGATTATTTGCAGTCCAGTTCAAGGGGCACAGGAGACTGAGGGGAATCTCCTGGGGGCTGAGCTGTGTCTGTGTATCAACAACTGCTGCTGCATCCTGGCTGTGGGTATTTATTCCAGGTGATGCTGTCGAGGACAGAAAGAAGAAACAAGCAAAGCCATTGCATTGCACACAGGGTCTGCAGCTGTAAGGAAGCTCTCAGTAAAAAGGCAGAGCTCACACCTGCAGGAATCACAGAATGGTTTGGGTTTGAAGGGGCTTTAAAGATCACTGAGTTCCAAGCACCTGCCATGGGCAGGAATGCCACTCACCAAACCAGGCTGCTCAGGGTCCCAGGCTTAGGAACAAAAGTAAGCCATAACAATCACAGGTCTTTCAAAAGCCTCTGTTTCATTAGAGAGCCTTTAACAGCTTTATAAAAGCAGGAAAGTATTTATTTTATCAATTTACAGATGGGAACATAAGGACTCTGGGAGGGAGTGGCTGGCACATTGAGATCCCTGCAGCAAAGGGTGATCAGTACATCCCAAACATTTACACCTCAGAGCAACCACAGACAGGGGCCACTTGTGAAAACCTTACCCACTTAAATTCCTGAGGATCACACAGAAAATCAGCGACAGAGAAACAGAAAAACAAAGACTGCTGACCACACACACTTCTCCCCCTGACACTGGCTTCAGGTCACTCAGACACCAGGCTCTAGAAAGTCTCTTTTTTCAGAAAAAGGCAAACAGTTACCCAACTTTCAGAAAACTCTTTGTCTTTGATACACTCTCCACAATTTATTATCATGTTTGCCTCAAGATTTGTATTTGAATACTGGCTGTGCCCCTCCCTGGATCCCATTGACTCAGGGCTTTCGTTTGTTTGCGTGTCATCTTCTTCTCCTCTTGTTTTAATTAAGATGCATTTTACTAATTATCTGAAGAGAAACATGAGCACAGATTAAAAACTGAATTAAGTAAGAAGCTGAGGTATACAAGAATCAAGGGAAGGGCTGATGTGGCTATGCTCTTGCTCAGATATTGTGTTTTTCCAGTGATTTTCACTCAGGGAGTCAGATTTGTTGCTCAGGCATTAATTAACCCTCTTGCTTTCCCATGAAAAGTCCCCACAGGTTCCCATCTTCCCCTGCATAGGAACTTGCCTGTGGAAACAGAGTGTGACACAATTCCCTAATAAATTCATTAGATTCCCTATTAGTTCCACTAGGGAGGGGTTTGGCTCCATTCTGACCACCTGCCTGAAGACAGCAAGAGTGAAAGAATGCCAATATTTTGCAGATCTACCGAAGGGTAAATCCTGTGCATCCCAGGAAACTGCTGGCCCTTCCCAGTGCTGGTGAGAGGGCAATGAATTTACCTTTGGGATTTCCCCTCCTTTGGGGAAATCAGAGTGGTTTTGTCAAGATCTGTCCCCCTCTGAGCTCAATCCTTGCTGCTCTAAAATATGAACACAGAAGAGCAGGAGCAAGTTTAAGTGACTCTAAACCCAAGCTCAGTACTTCATATTCATCATTTGGATTCTGCAATGCTAGTGAGAGCAAGGCTTATTTGTTGATGCCTGTTTGCAGGGGTTTCTTTGTTTGAAAAGGCTAATCAGCCATCAGGATGCAGAGGCAACTGTTTAAATGTAAAGGAAAAGGGAGAAAATGTTCAAAGCTATTCAGATGAGGTGGCATGGTTTGAGTTTTGATGTCGGTGTGCTGCCAGCTGACAAATGCTGAGCCACAGTCTGGTGTAAATCCAGATGAATTCCACTAGAATCAACAGACTTCCTTCCAATTTATTCTGATGTAATAGAGAGCATGATATTTCCATTCAGATTTACATTAGATTTGTTTCCTGTTTTCCATAATTCAGGCAGTTTCCATTGTGTACAAAAGCAGCCTGTGCCAGATCTTGATCTTATTTGCATCGGATGAAAACAGTTGTTTCAAACAGAGCCACATTGAATTTATAATTGCATAAATAAGAGCAGAATCTGATCTATTCCAGGAGAGAATTTCCCAGGGCGTTGCTGTGTGAGAACACTCCTGCTGTGCTTATCAGGTGCTTTGCCATTGATTTCAATGGAGAAATTTCATCTAAATCCTGGACTAAGCTCGAGCTGCTTTGTACATCCCAGGTTTAGAAGTCCCTCTTTTCTCAGAAGATTAGCCAATAAGCCAGCACCTCCCTCACCTCATGACCTGACACACAAACATCATGGATGGCTTTAGGAAAGCATCAGGATGGAAGGAGCCCAGCCTTGCCTGGCAGAAATCCTCCTCAAAAGATAGATTAGGCCCCGTAGATTTCATTTGTCACACACGTTATTTATAACCAAACTGCTCCGTGCTGACTTTGCTTCCTACTGAGTTTCCTCCCTTGAGGCCCCTCCTGACTCCCCTTGTTCCATTGTAATTGGAAATTTAGGAGCAGCACAGTTTTTCCCTGGCAGATAAGGCTGCCTGTTTCAGCAGCCACGCTACCAGTAACAGATTGGGTTATTAGTAATAACCAATAAGAGTGTTATTCCCAGCAACATGTGTAATCAAGTGGATTTACTCCTCCCCATTGAAGCTGCTTATTTCACTGCTAGCAGAAAAATAAGGCCATTTACAGTCATTTATGGTCGTTGCAAAGGCTTTTCTGAGTAGATACACAAGTTATGTTGCCATAGCTCCTAGGAAGGCTTTGAACTCGGCTCATCCATCTGGCTTCAGCACCTCTCACACTTGTTCCTTTGCTGTCCTCTGGAAGCCACCGTTTCCGTGCCAGGTAGAGACACGGAGATGTGGACAGGCATTGTTCTCTCACTTTGCATCTCACAGGTAGGGCACGAGCTCAGGTAACCCTTCCCGTGCTGACCTCCTGACCTCCAGCTCTGACACTTTGTGAGCACAGATATCCCACCTCGCTTCTCAAGGGTGACAAAACGTTCAGCTTCATTCTTTGTTGGCCTGGGGAAATGCAAAGCAGATCTGCAGTAAAAGCAGCTGTATCAACAAAATATCTCTTTACATTGCTATGGCTTGCCATTTGAAATGAAAACGTACCTCTTCCATTTGACTTTTCAGGCTCCTGTGTGTTTAATTCCACAGTAAATTTAGATTCTTTTACAAACGTAAATATTTCTCTTCATTTACAATATTTAGCACCAAACATAGGAAAACAGTGACAAGAAACAACTGCAATGACACCAGTGACAACATCACAATTACAAGGCCATCAGGATTAGGAGCACATTATGTGGCAGATTGAAATTTCAGCATCTCTCTGCTTGTCTCTCATCACGTCATCTCAGCCCCTGTGCAGAGAATGGCAATTACCCCGTGGGTTTGGCCTGTAGTATATAAAACAGAGCCTTGAAAAAAAAACAAGGCAATCATCAAATTTCCAGTGTGGGCGGAATCTGCCTGTTAGGTTTGCACACACACACACACACACACACACTCACTATCAGGGCTGGCAGTGCCTAAAGGCAGCCTCACATCGAGCTGTGCCTATAAAACACAAAAGCACAACAGATTCTCTGCTCCTGATCCTTCACAGAGCAGGAGCAGAGTTGAAGCCATTATAACAAAGGCTGACAAAACGACTTCTTTGGGATTTTGTTCCCCACAGGCTTTTATTCCGCTGTGTGATTTGCATTACAACTGGATCCTAATTGTCCATTTCGGCAGGCAAAGAGCAATCTGGTACAGATTATAACAAGTGAGGCAAAACGGTGGTGTCACAAAATAGGTTCCACCAGGCAAAGGCAGCCTTCCTGTCTCCCAGAGCTTTGACACCGGCTGATTAAACAACCGGAATTAACGGGGGCCCCAAAAAAAAACCCGGTGCAGAAAAAAAACTGCTCAAACAAAAGTGCCAAAAACCTTCCACTGGTGCTCCCTGACAGCCCTGAATGTCTGAGGCAGTGGCACTGAGCTGAGACGGTGCCACTGTCCTTGCAGAAGGGACACCTGGAAGTGACACACCTGGAAGTGACACACACCTGGAAGCCAGACACCTGGAAGCCACACACACCTGGAAGTGACACACACCTGGAAGTGACACACCTGGAAGTGACACACCTGGAAGTGACACACCTGGAAGCCACACACACCTGGAAGCCACACACACCTGGAAGTGACACACCTGGAAGCCACACACACCTGGAAGTGACACACCTGGAAGTGACACACACCTGGAAGCCACACACAGGGCCCTGAGAGGGAGCAAGGAGCCCCTGCCAGGCTCTGCTGGTCCCATGGAAGCCCAAATGGCCCCTGCCACGAACACCTTGAAGGAGAGCACTTCCAGCAGGGAATGCCACCCAGGCTGAGGGAGGAAAAGGTGACAGAGCTGCCCTGAGGCAGGAAATGAGGTGCAGCTGCCGTGGGCTGGAGAGTGTCTGCAGGTGCTTCTGGGGGAGGGAAATCCATACGAGGCTGCCTCAAAGGAGAGTGACACAGCCTGCTTGAGAGCCCGGGGGCTCAGCCCACTGTGGTGAATTCTTCTGCACGTGGAAGACCCGTGCTATTCCCAGAGCTGCCAGTGCAGACTCATTGATTAGTAGGCAGGGCAGGAAATTAATTGAGGCAGGTGAATTAAAGCCAGGCTCACAAGCTGCATCTGTTTCTCCATTCCCTCTGCATACAACACTGATGTAACTTAAAAAAGCGAATTTAGCAAGGAAAGCTGCCAGCTTGATGGCCCTGCAAACTGAAACGTTTGATGCACGAATGTCTCAGGTACAGGAGAAGCACAGAGGAGCCACCAAAACGTGCCCCAGCCTGAGCAGCCCGACTGGAGCACAGCCACGATGGAGACACCTGCCTGGGCTTGTCTTCTGCTCATGAAGCTCAGGAGAAGGAGCTGCTGGAAAGGTCTGGCTGCAGCTCCAAGGTGGAGGCAAACAGCAGTGCTTGGGGTAATCCTGTCTGGGGGGCTCCAGCAGCAGCAGCAGCAGGTCCCAAAAATCAACAGCCCCAACGAGCAGCAGGCCCATCCACAGAGCAGAACTGTGGAGATGAAAACTTCTCCATCCTGCAATCCCCTCGGGACCTAACATTCCTTCCAGGGCTGGTCCTTGGTCCTGTCCACACCTGTGTTCACAGACAACAAGGGAAACGTCCATTTCACGGTAGTTCTTACTGTCAGCATCTTTTCTGGTGTCCAAGCAGCTCCCCACACCACCCCAGTTAATTCAGTCTTTCCAGAAATCCCCCTGAGCTGCAAAAAGCCCCCCAGAGCCTCCCAGAGCTGCCAGCTGCAGGCAGGAGCTGTTAGAGCAGATCCTGCACCTAATCCACCTCAGGTCACTTTGCCTTTTGCAGAAAGGCAAAACTCCAGAGAGCCTGGCCAGTTTTGAAGGACCTAAAAAAGCAAGGACAGATAGGACACCTCAAATAAAAGACTCATTTTCCCCCTAGGTGTGTCCAGAAGAGGATTCAAAGCATCTCTCTGCCCATTTAGTGATCTGACCTCCTTGGCCAGACTCAGGTAAACCCCCAGTGTCTAAATTACAATATAAAAAACGGTTTCCACCTGTTCTGACAGCAGCTGAGGGGTGGGATCACACCACTCAGCAAGCATTCAGGACAGCTGCCACTAGGAGTGAGAGGCAGCATGGGGAGGACAAGAAGAAGAGGCAGTGTAAAAGAGCTGAATAAAAGAGTTTATCCCTCTGTCTTCCCAGCCCTGGGACTGCAAATGTCAGGGGGTTTAGACTGGATTTTGGGGAAAGTTCTTCCCCCCGAGGGTGCTGGACACTGCCCAGGGAATGATCCCAGCCCCGAGGCTGCCAGAGCTCCCAGGGGTGCCCAGGGTGGGATTTTTTGGGGTTTGTGCAGGGCCAGGAGCTGGGCTGGGTGATCCCGGGGGTCCCTTCAAACTCAGGGTATTCTGTGATTCTCCCATCACTGAAGAGTTGCACAGTTCTATCAGCAGAGCTTTAAACAAATCTCTTGCAGGAAACAACACAACAAACAGGCAAACAAAGGAAAAAAAACCCAGTCAGCTCTTGTTCCTCAGCACAGCTCCTGTTCTCAGGTGTCTTGCACTGGATTGTGGCATAGAGGAAAAAAGCAGAAATACCTCAAATAGATGCAGCTGGTTTTACCTCTTTTTCTGCTGGTCCTGTGGCTCTTTCTAGACGGTTTGTTGGGTTTTTTTTCCTACTTTTTCCCATGTGATAAGATGCATCATTTGAAGGACAGCAACCAAACCAGTTCTTCCTGCTTTGAAGAAAGGCAGCAACTGCACTTAGAATAAAAGATTGTCAGGCAGATTTGAAGTGTCAATCAAAACCTATCTCTGAAAAAAAACCATGAGTCCAGGCAGCTCCCCACACCACCCCAGTTAATTTAGTCTTTCCAGATATTCCCCTGAGCTGCAGAAATCCTTTCAGAGCTGACCAGAGCTGCCAGCTGCAGGCAGGAGCTGTTAGAGCAGATCCTGGACCTAATTCAACTTAGGTCAGTTTGCCTTTTGCAGAGCAAAAGATGGTGATTATCAAGTCCAGGGAAGCAAATCCTGTCTCTGAGGCTTTGTGAAGCAAACTGTATTTTTCACTAGACGAGGGGTACAGATGTAGGACTCTGTTGCTCAGTGTGTTCCATCTCCAATGGCACACATCCACTTCAATATTATTATTATAATTTTAATTATTATTTATGACTACACCCAGAGCAGTGTGAGGCACTTTCCAAGCACTCAGGAAAGTACTGGCTCCCCTCCAAGAAATTCATTATTTCAGGATAGACAGACACACAGCATGATCAAGTGGCAGAACTGCTGACCCAACAGCACCAGCTCTCCACAAACCTTGCTGGTTGACCTTGGAAAACTCACATTCCTTCTTCCCACACTTTGTCCCATCCCACTCTTTGTCCATCCCAGTTGCTTGGACTGAAAAACATTCAGCTCTGGCTACGTTCATGTCTTTGTCTTAGAATCTCTTTCTGTGCAAAGTCTGTTCTTGGGGGGGAATAGTTTTGTTCTTTGGTAAAATGAAAATGAAAAATTCTATTTTCCATATTTTGTCAAATGCTTGTGTTGGAAAAAAAAAATCCAATGTTTTCTCATGGCCAAAAAAAAACCCAGAAAATGCAGATTTGGGGCGTTTGGTAAGAGTTGCCAATCACTGGAATTTTCTGGGGAAGGTACTGTAGAGATTAGTGAAACATCCATTCTTTTTCCTGAAAATAAGCTTGAACTTAAAAATCAAATTGTTCTGCGAGTAAGGAACTGGTGAAACCCGTTCTTCCTCTGATTTGTATTACAACTGCTTTTTATTTCTCCCTTTCTTGGTGCTCCCAGCTTACTACAAAATCCTCAGGGCACCCGATGCCCTCCAGACCTTCCCAGCAAAATCCTTGGCTGTTCCAGCAGCTTCTTGCTTTGCAGGGAAGGGGAAGCAAGTGCAGGGGCTGGTTTGAAGCTGGGCAGGAACTGATTGACTATTCATGTCTAAATGCCAGCTGGTCACCTGACTGCTGCATCCCAAAATAGGCAGGGAGCAAGAGGTGTAATTACCTTTCCTTCAACAGAATATTAACTTAAATGTCTCTCTCCCATCCAGCTGCTGTTTGTTCATGAAAATTGCAGGAATCTCGGGTCTGTGAGACCTCTCAAACCGGGTGGAATGAGGTCAGCTGGTTCAGAAAAGGGTTTTGGAGCCCAGACAGACAGTCCATAACCTGAGTCACTTACAGCTGGATGGACAGGGTGAAAGGGAAAAATTAATTCTCTCACATGTAGGAAAAGAAAAGCCAAGACCAGCAACTTACTGCAGAATCCTGAGAAGGAGTCAGAAGGAGGCTCAGATGTCCCATGTCCCCATCTAGGGCCCAAGGCAAAATCCACCTCGGCTCCTCCTCGTTCCATCACCCAGGCAGAAATCCCCTTTCCTGGGCGTTTCACTGGTTCATTACTCTCAGGAGCTGAGTCAGTCTTACTCCACTGGCAGCTGGGAGCACGGCATGCTGATGAGGAAACACTATTTGTTGTTTCGTTTGGGTTAATTATTCACGGGCACCACGCTGAAAACACTTGGAGCTGCTTTCTGAACAGTCCTTGAGCTGGCATGCAGGGAGGGACTTACCCACACTGGTGGCCAGGCTGCCTTCCCGTGGGCAAGCTCTGTTCCATCTGCTTCCCTTCAGCCCTTGTCACACTCCCCTCCTCTCATGGCTTTGGCTGTGCTCTTTGGCATTATCTGAAGAAGAAAGAGGCAAATACTTGGAGCACTACAGAGATGCAATCAAAAATGGCATTTGACCAAGCAGGCACTGACCCTGACGTGTGGAGAATGTAAAGCTCATCCTCTGACTGGTTTTGGTTTTCAGTCACACTGTACAGCTCAGAATAAGCCACTTGCAGAGTTTCAAACCCTGTTTATCCTTCCACAGAAGATGCCTTCATTCTCCTTCAGATAACCCACAACTGTCTGGAAGCCTTTTTCTCATAGGCAAGGCTCTTCCTCTTTAGTGCCTGCTCCTGGAAATCCACGTTTCATCTTAGAACAAGGGTGGTCTGCAGCTTTAGGAGCACTTTGAGAATGCTTGCAGCAAGACAGAGCTTGAATTGCTCTCAACCCATTCACTCTCAGGCATTAGCACTACATGGAGGCTTTCTGGGGTTGTGGGTCCATCCACATCTCCTGACAGGGATCCAGACCCTCCATAGAAGGCCTGAACTTAGCAAAAGTAGAATTATTTTCTAAGTTACTCTTCTGAAAACCTTTAGAAATCACCCAGTGCTATCCCCTGGGGTCTCTAGACCAGAGCCTAAAGCTCCTCCAAGTTTGTAGAGAGCTCATGATCCCCCCTTGGACTGCAGCTGCAGTTCTCATGGCCCACAGCAACTCTACCAGGCAGCCACCCTACCCAGGTGAGCCAGAGGCAAATATTTCATCAGGTCCAAGAGAATTTCAAAGTCTATGGGGTGGGAGTTTTTGCTGTGCTCTAACAGAGGATCAGTCGAGTGAGGCTGATATCAGTCACTGATTGGGTTTTCCATAAAACCCAGAACCAGATTTATATTTCAGGGCTTCCTTCTCCACTTGAAATTTCAGGGGATTTTGGTAGCCAAGGGTTTTCTGTAAGCCCACCCTGTAGCACATCTGTCCTATAAAGCACCATGAGACAGGAGGGGGGATTTATCCCAACTGGGCAGAATCCTCACCTGATATAAATCAGCACAACTACAGAGAAGTCCAGGAAGCTGGGCCATATCACACCAGAAAGAAAACTACTTTGGAATGTACTTCCCATTCATTAATTCATTGCCTAGAGCCAGGACAGACCCTCAGGGGACATATTTGCTCCGTTTCATCTTCTGCAATCCCATGCAACTGCACAGGGAGGAATCCAAATCTTGTGGACCACATTCCCTATCGATGCAACCCCGTGTTTTTGTCAAATGAGCTTCTTGGGCTGAACAAGAAGTAAATGAGATAAATACAGGTGTGACTGTCTGGCCTGTGTGCTGTGAGGTGTCAGCAGAGGTAACTGCACCAGCGCTTTCAGAACTTAAAAATCACTTAACTGAGTACCCCAGCAGAGAGCCTGGCCCGTGAGTAATCCACATAAATACTACCTCCAGCCACTGAGATGTAGTCAGCCCCCCTACCTGGCTGTTGCCTCAGTAACACATCTCCAGGAGGATATTTTTAAGCCAGAATTATTTATCTAGTAGGTGGAAGCAGACCTGTTAAGGCCATACCAGGTCAGCATATGTCTAAGCATGTACTGAAGAACTTAATTAGTTCTCCCTGAGAAGAGAGACTCCCAGTGCTATTTAAAGGATCGTTATCCCACTGTGAGATGCCTCAGAGCCTGCTGCCAGGCCTCAGCTTAACAGGGCAAGGCTGTAAAAGTTGGATGGGGGTGAAAAGTCTCCCCCCCTCCATGCTGAGGAGTAATTGCTGAGCAACCACAGGAGCAGGAGGGTCAGTGCAAAGGGCAGGCATCACAAAACCACACTGGAACTCAGGTTTGAGCTTTCAGGGTTTAACTGTGCGGGTTCTGCTACTTTTTTTTTATTATTTCTAGAGGTCCAACGTCACCTGGTGTGCTTGGTGACTGCATCCCAGGCAATTCCAGTGACAGTGAGCAGGGGTGATAGGATGGTGATGTAAGTGTGGAGTGAGCCACTGCTGCGTGCCTCTCAGTGGTCCTTATGTCACCACAGAATCAGACAGAGGCAGGAGTTTAGCATCAGTTAAACTGGACCTTGTACAAGTGGCTCAGCCATCGTTTTCATTTACAGTTCCAAAAATTCAGACACTGTAAACTGAAGGGAATGCAGTGGGCTCCCTGAGGACAGATGTGTTTGTTATTCTGGCAGGACATAAAATATCCACCCTTGAGTGGATGGACCTTTGGAAAACTAGACTGAGCAGCCCCTGAAGAATAAAACAGGCTCCCAAGCATGTGAAAACTTCTACAAGGACTGGCACTCACAAGGGACACTGAGGCTGGATTGCAGGAGAGGGAAGAACCTGGACATGTTTATTTTGACCTAAGAGTGGCTACGATATACAACGTGGGACCTTGGGCTGCTCTTGGAGCTGTCAGGAGCTGTTCCTCGATGAGTTGTTATGGTAACTGAGCTAATGCCTGAGATGGATGCTTTCAGGTGGCTCCAGGCCAGAAAATCAACACCAATAGATTCCAGATAATAGACTTCTGCTGAACTCAGTGCTGGCGTCTACTTTATTTAACCTATTCACCAATGACTTCCTGAACTCCATTCTCCAGGCAAGCCATATATGATGAGAAAAGCTGCCTGGCCTCAATGAACCACAGCTTCCAAAAGGCTGAGGGGGACCCATGTCCTGCAGCTGAGTCTGTGCCAGTAAATCAAACATGCCTGAGTCATTCTCCTGCATTTAGAGAATTGCCAAGGTTTTCCTATTAAGTTCTTACTCTCCAAACTGGCATGGACACATCCAGGCATCCCATAAGGAGCAGTCCCTGGCCCATGCTGGATCCTGAAATGCACCTGGATTGAGTCAAAAACTGCAGTGTAATACTCCATCATTGTAACAGAGAGAAGTCAAAGCACTGCTTGATTTATCAGCACAGACCTTGCTAGAGGAGGCTGAGCAGGAGAGGAGCCTGGAACCAAGAGCAAAGGCTCTGTCAATGTGCTTATACCATGTACAGATCCAGCTGGAGCTCTCCATCCCCAGGAATGGGCAGTGACAGGCACACTGGCATGTTTGGGGATCACTCTGGATCAGGCACTGACATCCTCTAGCTGAAACAGCTCACGGGCTGTGGGACACAAATTGAGAAAGTAAGAAAATTACAGCCTGAAAAATATTCCAGGCTGGAGCTTCTCAGCTCTGTTCCCAGCCAATAAACTGGTCCAGCTCAAGGCCAAGGGAGAATTTCTCCCAAGGTGATAATTTGGTCAAAATGAAAAGGAATTAATAACAAAATAAAACACCTGTTGTGGTGTGTGCCCAGGCCCTGGCAATGGGGTGTCTTCTCTCTGAACCAATCACCTTTTCTCTACTCTTGAAATTGTGAATCATGCTATAAAATCAAAAGTGTTTCTGAATAAACTTGGCTCTTCCTTCCTGTCATGAAAGATAACCATGTAACTGAGCATCTTATTTCTGCCTCACTTAAAGGGTTAAAACCCCTTCCCACGACAACAACGGGCTAAGCTGTGGATTCACCAGCTCAAGGCAATATTCCTCCATCTCCCATCGAGCATCAAAACGCAGCCAACAAACGATCAGCAAGGAGCTGCTGACTCCACGTGCCCACTGCCCCACGGGTGCCCGTGCTGCTTGGTGCTGCCCAGAGTGCAGGCAGCAAAGAGCTGGCAGCACACAGAATTCGGGCAGAGCAGGAATCGCTGCGTTGGGACGGCAGGGACAAACTCAGGCGCTCTCTGTACTCTGGTGTTGAAGTTTGCAGTTTATTTTGTAGGGTGTGGGTAAATATGAGACCCTGCTGGGAACTGCAGCCACAGCTCAGAGCAGGATGGAGAGAGAGGGAGAGAGCAAGAGGAAAAGGACAGAGCATAAAAGAGTGAGAGAGTCAGAGTGAAGAGAGAGAGAGATTTTCCCCTTTACAATACATTAAATCTTCTTCTATGTTGAATATTCTTATTTCCACTAACCAATGTAATACAAGATACAAATTCTCTAACATTTGCATGCGACCTATAGCAATCACTATATTACCATGTTTTACTGATTTTCTTATCTCTAACTTTTATCTGGGACCCTTCCTGCCATGCCTAGGGAGGATGTCTGTTTGTTTTTTGGTATTCACAGCATCTAACATTATCTAAACAAAGGAGCCCTCAGGCATTCAGTTGCTTTCAGCCCCACAGCCAAAAATCGCTATAATTTCTATTTCGCTTATATTTTCCATATTCTCAAACTCTTTTACCAAGGCCCTCGTATTTATAAGGTTTCCCTAATCCATCCTTCCCAAGAGTGCCCCTTCCAGGAGCTGCCACGTCAGCGTCAGACGAGCTGAGCAGCCCTGGGGCTCTCGGAGCGAGACAAACGGGTTCTGCAGTGCTGTGGGGCCACCGTGCCACAGCTGAGCGTGCCCTGGGCCTTTGGGACAGCTTGCTGCATGCCCCTGGATGCTTTTGCATCCACGCTGGGTGGCCGTTCTGCTCATGCCAACACCCCACTGTTGGTGTGCTGTTAGGCTCGAACAGCACATGGCCACTGAGCCGGGGCGTTTCTCTGCTTGCTCGTTCCCATTTCAACTCTTGATTTGCTTGTTTTTGCCCACTGACAAAGCGTGTTGTTGTAATATGTCACTCTCTAGGGCAGAAACTGTTTTTCAGCGAGTTCTTTGCTCGGCCTCTACTGCAGCAGAATTGCAATTTGAGTCAGCACAGCAGTAATGTGATTAACAGGCTCTGCACGAAGGGGAATTGCATCCTAGGTGGATGTG